AAATCCCACTAAACTTTAATGTAAATTCATTAAAATTTATTAACAATATTTTTTTTACAATTTGAACTTTGGGCAAACACTTGCAAATTATTTGACTTATTCAGTATAATTTAAATTGTATTATTAAATTTGTGTTAAGCTGAAACTTGCATTAAGGTAGATGCACTTTATGTAAACCATATAATATGTAGGTATTTTATGTAATCAAGTAAAATCTTAAATGTTTTAAGTGTTTGCATTTTTTTTTTTATAATTAAGTATTTTCGAAACTCGGATCAAACCAATATTTTGTAAAGTAGCACATTTCAGTTTTATTGAAAACAAAGTTTTTGTTTTCAAAATACACATAAATATAATTGCATACTTTTAGGTGATTCTAAATAGTAAACTTAGTTAGTAAGAGAATGAAAAGGTTAAACGAAGAACTATATAATAGCCGAGTTACCCGGCCGGTAAAATACGTACATAGTACGTAAAATAGAATTTTTTTTTTATTTTTATTATATGCATGAATTTAATAAAATTAATTATATTAAAAATATATCTTAATGTAAAATTTTGAAATTTGGATAACTTAGGAGATATTTAGGAAATATAGTAAAACTAGTAGAAAAACTCGTACAAACTATTGAAAAATTCCAGATTTCTAAAGTCAAATGTTAGAACTTATTATTAAAATTAGCGATAACGGTAACAGTTATTTTATTATCGCTATATTTCTGAATTTATAAATAGCATTTTTTATAGGTAGGTTTGACACCATAAGTTCTCAAAGAGTAGTACTCGTATTGCATGGCTCTGAAAGATTACAGCTTTTAGTATATATAGGTAGGATAAATAAAAATTTTCTTCGATAAAGAAATAGATTTCCGACAAATATCCAATTATGTGTGTGTTAGTGTGTCAAATATGTATGCCTTATTTTTTATCTTGAAGACTGTAGAAGTTTTATATACAGATTTGCGAATAGATTGATATATATGCGGACAGGCAAAGTGAAATTAATAAGGAGATTTTCCTTTTTTTTTTATTATGTACAAAAATTTTTTTTAAATATGTAAATTTTATTAATTGCATAAAAAATTACATTTTTAATACGCATTCTTTGTTTATTAGCTAAATATACAAAGTAGAACAGCGCTTAAACTAACATATATATGTACACATACGAATTCTTGTTGAGAATACATATAATATGGCAATCCAAGAAAACTTTTCGATATTTTATTATTGACAATTATTTATAATTTTAACAGTGTCGCTGAGTAACAGGAGTGTAAAATAAAATTTATTAATTTTTTTAAAATCGAAAAAAAAAATTTATTGGTTTATATTTTCTCACATAAATTTTTTACAAAACACAAAAAAAAACCATTTAAATTATTCTAAAACTATAATTGAAATCTTGATTTTAAAGCTTTTTTTGTTAAATTGCACGTTTTGTTTGAAAACACGGAAATTTATCATTATATATATATTAAACTTAATTAGTTTTCTTATTAAAATAGAATCTAGATGGCAATAAATGTAAATTTACCCTATATAATGTTCCCTATATAACATATTGCATATATTTACACTTGTGTTTTAAAATAAATAATAATTTTATATTTTGTAATATAAATTATAGCATATTCGGTGTTATTCCCGAATGTGAACAAGCTGTCTAAAACATAGAAAGTATACTTAATAGTATTCTATAGTATTCTTTTTCCACCCCCTCCATTTTAAGCTATTACGCTTGAAAGACATAGTCGTTACCATCTAATTAATCAGCAAATGATATGCATCTAATATTCTGCATAAATATTTTAACGGGAATACAATATTTGTGCGCCATCCTCTACAATAAACAAAGTATTAAAAAAAATAAATGTATATATGCACATATATGTATGCTTATGTATTTCTAAATTTCTAGTATTTTTATAATGTTGTCATATTTTTAGCAAAATAACAATTATTGCTACAACAAGTTTCTAAACATTAATGATTGTAGATCATATGTACTCGTGTGTATATTATTTAACAGTATATCAGTGATTTCAAAAATATTGTCATAATTTTAAATTGCAAATCTCATTTGAAAATTGTATAGTACGATATTAAATCTCTTGCCCGCGTTGACGTAAATATATTAAGCAAATCAACTTGTAAAGGTAATTAATTGAAAATTCTCAAATCTGTTCATATTAGCACTTTAACAAATATGCAATATTGAATAAAAATATATGCATAAATATACATAATAAAATCTTTGTTAAAAAAATTTTAAAAAATATTTAGTTAATTTGAAGAAAATTTACTTTGAAATTGAATGTGTGCAAAATTTAAGATAGATAATAAATTTCCTATTACCGCTTAACTTACATGCTACTTTTAAAATTATTACAACAATTACATACTTTAATATTGTAGTAGTTCTAAGCATTAGTATTATAGTATGGTTTATTGCAGTTTTGCTACCATAGAATATTATTGAACTAGCTTAAGAGTAAAAAGATATTTTTATGACATATATTTTAAAATTGTAATATTAAATCACTTTTTAAAATATCGTTTTAATTAAATAAAGAAACTAAAATTTTTTCATCTCATTTGCAATAATTTTATATCATTGAGAGCAGTTTATTTAGCCATGCATCTACAAATTCCTCTTATTAAAGCGCTAAGTAATTTTTTTCGTTTCGGAAATTCTCCAGATAGAATGATTTTTTTGTTTAAAGATAAAGTATTACAATATAACTTCCTCTTCCCTACATAAGTTCCAGATATATTTTTTAGAAGTTCTTACGAAGAAATGAACTATTTATTGTCCGTCAATATTGATACGGTATTACTGCATTTTAGAAGTCAAGTCCGTCACAATAAATATTATGCATATACAAATGTATTTTAATGGACTAAACATAAACCAAGCCTTCTTTTTTAATGTTTTATTGAAATAGTTTTAAGTATATAATCAAAAATAAAAATTTTATATGTTATTATAAATTTTATACGTTTTTAATCATAAATTTTAATTATAAATATTATACATAGTCATAAATTTTATAAAAAAATATATTATTATTAATTATTTCAGTTCGGCAGTGATTTCAACTAGTTCGACAATTATTTCCCAGAAATGTAATTGATCGATGTCAGAGACAGAATCAATAACGGCATAGTCATAAAAATTGTAAGATGAATAATATAATATTACAGAAATCCAGTAAATCCAAAATTGTCCGAATAATAAAAATGTAACAACTACATCAGTATATCACCACTATTGTAATTCAAATTCTCTTCAATTATTATTATGTATATATGTACATATATAATATATTTCTTTTTTTGGTTTGAAAAATTCATTATTTAAATAATTAAATTATTATACTCGTATTATTTAAAAATCGTTATAATTATTTTAATTTTTGTAATAAAATAAAATCATTATAAATATGAAAAAGAAAAAAAGATTTTTAAATAATAATGCAAGTTATATTTTAATTAATATTAAATTAATAAATATTTTGTTAAAAATTCCAATGTAACATAATGTATAAATTATAGAATAATTAGAAATAATTAAATATTTTCTATAAATTATGTAAAATAATGAGACTGAAAATTTATTTGTACATAAAAATTCGGTTGTATGAAAAAAAAAACAGAAAAATAATAAAGGAATGTGCAAAATTATTTATTAGAATTTTCAAATTTTTCTGCAAATTTGTACTACTAGACTAGACCTACTAGACTGTAAATTCCATTTTTATAATTTTTGTTCTACTTTTAATTCTCGGGGTTAACCACAGTTGTCTACTTAACTCATAGAAAAAACTATCAAAATCTTAATTCATGTCCTTAATTTTTTCATTTATTATATTTTATAATAGGAATACGAGTACCATTATGTATAACAGTTTTGATATACAAAATACAACACATTTATTTTCAGTTTTTAGCTTCCACCTTAACTTAAAATACTACAATTGACAAAAAATAAAATACTTTTAGAAGGTATTCCAGAATAACTATTAAAATGTATTAATCACTTCAGCAAAGATTTTTTAATCCACAAAACAATTTAATTTAAATCAAATTTTTAATAATATAGGAAATTTTTTCTTTATTTTAGTATTATGTATTTTTAAACCTGAACATCTTTATATTTTTTATTATTACTTTTTAGCCTAGCAGATCTAGACTTATTGTTTTAAAAATAAAAATTAACAAGTGAATATAAAAAACAATGATCATATCAATTAAAATCCCTAGAATCAAAGTTAATTATATTTTTTTATTTTCACTAGCAACTATTTCATCATTAGTATTGGGGTTGCCTGTCACCCATCATATTTTCGATTTCATATCACATTTTGAAAATAATTTTTTTGGTAAGTATGTAATAGTGCATCTTGAAATTCAGTAAATTAATAAACACTTTAATGGGCTTTTGAAAACTTAATCTAACTTAAAAATTAATAGAAGCAATAAAAAGCAAAAAAAAAACAATAAAATCTTTGATATTTCATAATTTTTAGAAATTAAAAAATTATTTTATAAATTTTAGATGAAAATATCAATTTCCAAACCACTATGATCGATTTTTTCATCAGACGATATATGAGTTTAATATTGTATTCCCTATTCAGTTTCTTAGGAGTTTTTACTTTGTCAAATATCATGTAAGTAGAATATGTATATATTTATGTGTACACATTCTATAAATGAAAAATATATTTATTACATTATTTAATTAGATACTCAGGAATCAAAACTTTCACTTATTTTAATTCTATTCGACAAAAACGGAATAAACAACTTCATAATGTAATAAACTTGGAAAAAATTGATAAGTCAATGAAGAAGATTTTAAATGTTAAAAAAGAAATTTCAAAAACCAAAATTCAAAGAAAGCCTTATGAAATTAAAAAATTAAGAAACCAATTAGCTATAGATCGATATTTAATTGATTGCTTAATATATGAATTAGAAAATGAACGCCTTAAAAACGAATTTTTCGGAAAGCGAAAAGAAATTTTAAAATTTTCAATAGCAAAAAATGCTGTGAAAATTATCAAAAATGCTCTTTCAATAAAAAATTTAAAATTCATAACTGATCAGTGTGATGATATAGAATTTTCTCCTAATATAAAAAATGAAACTTCCAAATCAGTGGCAAATCAATCTAAAATTGCATTAATGCATTCGTATGAAAAACATGAAAATAATCTTATTCAAACGAAGGCCGATGTTATAGGTAGAATGATCAGGATTGTTTCAACAGATGAATTGATAACCATTAAATCAAAAAACAAGTAGCACAATAATTATAACTTCTAAAAGCCATTGAAAATACAGGGAATACCATTTTTCTCGTTTGAAATTGTTTTATTTTTCTCTTTTAATTATCTACAAAAAAGGTTCATCGTGCCCCGACTCAATTAAGCAATATTTTATATAAAAACTATTTTTATATATAATATAAGGGTGGAAAATTTTAAAAATATATCATAACAAATATTCAATAGTAGCTAAATTAAGAGAAATTCACTTAAGCTCTATAATCTGCATCGTGTTCGTCATCCTCTTCATCTTCATCATCTAAAAAAAAAAAAATAATTTTTACAAAAAATTTGATAAAATAAAAAAAAAAGTACCATGATCGGCACGTTTCCTATTGTAAGCTTTCTTAGGTGCCTGAGTTTGATCTGATTCACCATGTAACAAAGAATTACGATATGAAACTAAAGGCTGCCATTCATCACTTCTGCTGGATGGCATACCAGGTGATATTCGACGATCCAAAAAACTTAGCATTACTTTTTTATCTTGTTTTATCAATTTATTTGTGAATTCATTTAAAATATCTAAGAAAAGTAAATTGCTTGGGGCAGCAACTGGATCCTCTGGAATTTCTTGGACCGCGAATAAAATTCCAGCTCGGTGTAAAGCTATCATTGGTTCACGATTTTTGACGGCATCTAAACCAAATGATAATGCAAATCGTTTCGCCAGTTCTTTTAACTCATTGAATTCTTGTAATAATTTTCCAGTAATATTATTTTCAGATAATTGTTGTAGTTCTTTAAATGCTGTTACCAAACTTAAACATAAGGTCATCGAAAAATTTATTTTATTTATTTCACGTACTTTGCCCAATGTCGTTTTTATTATATCTCCATATTCATTATAGCACTAAAAGATATCAAAATAATAATTTAGCTCACTTTTTACCATTTTAACACATACTTTGAGGTAATGTCGAAAAACGTCAGCTGCAGATTTAGTTGGAATTATGTTATAAACAATTAACTTGCAATAAGCTGCCAAAAAATTTCGCTTTTTGTGTAATTCTTCAATTCTCGTTTCGTCGTGTCCCTCTAATAATTAAAATTTGATTATAATTTAACCAAACTGAAATAAAATGAAAAAAATACCTTCTTGCAGAAGTGTAAAAACATTCTGAATTAAAAATTGATTTAATATAGATTGTTGTTCAACTGAGGGTTTATATTCCAAAGTACGAACTGTTCGGTTTTCATTTGTGGAAAGTTGATCAGAAAATATTATAAAGAGGTCACAAACAGACATATATGCCTACAAGATTATTAATACCGTTACAATTTCGAATATATTTAAAACACAATATTCTTTGACTATAAATTAGCAATTGATTAAACTTACAGCTTCACGTATTGTTGAGGTTTTCCCATATTTAATTAACTCGCAACAAGCATTTATATACTTATTCAAATTAATACGCAGTTCATTACATGACGATTCAATACTTGAAGTTTCACAATTATTTTCAATATGATAAAGGGCCCACGTAATAGAAAAGAAGCAAGCTTCAATACAATAAACTAAGGCTTCATTTGGAAGACCCCTCTCTGTATTGTTACGCATTTGACTTTCATCTATATCTTGATATATTGAATCGAACAAATTCCATGGATTTAAATTATGACAGGAATATAAAATTGAGACGTTTTTCAATGAGATTATAATAGTGTATATTTCATCTTCATTAGGGAGCTCTTCACCTGTTAATCATATCATAAAAGAAAAAAGGGTTTGAGTGTAAAATGAACCTTATGGCATTAGTCACTTTACCTGCAATTAGATTTCTCCAGTCATCAATAGCTTCTTTGTATTTGTTTACACACTGATCAATAATATTTCCTCTTGCAATGTCACATCTGGTATATGTTGCTGTTCCTTCAGTACATAAATATTCAAGCGTTTTTGAGCAAGTTTCTAGAACTTCACGGTCTGTGTGAATTGACATTATGTGACTCATTTTATCTAGTAAACTTTGCAAATTTGCTTCCTGCCTTGATGTTGTATATATATCTAATTCAAAATATTGTGGAACAGCTAACAAATTAGTTAATTTTTCAGCATCTGCTTGATATTTTTCTAAAAGAGGTGGTAATGTAATAATAAAATGTTCTGTGAGTTTTACTTTGTCATCTTGTATTGCTTTTACTTCCTTTGCATTTAACGTAACTTTTCGATTGCTCCCTCTTCCAACAGGAGCTTCTCCTGTAGCAGATTGTTTAATACTACTAACCATAATTTCAATTAAGGTTGACTCTTGTTTATTATCTAAAACCTCTTCATTTGGCCCAGGTTCTTCTAAAAGCAAATCAGTCATACACTCCCAATCCTTAACCATCGGATTATTGTCAATAAACGAGTCCACCAAATATGCACCATGTTCATGTAATTCTGATTCTATAAAAAACTGAACTAAATCTCTTATTAACGGTGTGTTTGGCAGACGTTTTTTCCCACGCTTAGTTTTATAGACTTCCAATTCATCAGTTAAATGAAATAATCGAACATTCAAAAACTCTGCTGCTGCTTGTGCTACACCACGATGAGACGAATAGACTAACTCATACACAATTTCACAGTCCTTATCGGTCAAAATATCTGGGTGAATCTTAAGAATACTTATAACCAATTTTACAGCATGAACGGCCACTTCAAATTCTTTATCCAATGTCATTGCAACGATACGATCTTTGAACTTTGAAGTAAATAATTCAAGTTTTCCTTTTAACTCCTCACAATTATACAGAGGCAGTAATGCTTGTAAACAGCGAAGTCGAACTTCCCCAATTTTGTCATGTAATGTCCAACCAATATACTTCAAATAAGAATCATCCAAAAAATTTTGTGAAAAGTTCTGCATCCAAACACCAATTTCAGTCATACAAATAGCCCTAATATCGGGTAACGTATCACGATATCTATGCACAAATACTGATTTGAACATATATGTCAACATATTTTTTATTTCATCCATATTTTCCTCCAATTCTGCCCGCTTTGACATCAAAGATTCAAGACGTTCAGGTGCTCGTTTATCACGACTCTGAAAAAATTTTTCGTTAACTTTTATGATTGCATTAAGTAATTTTACGTATACTTTCACATGCTCTGCTTCATACTGCCTTGCAGCGTTATCGAAATTTACTGATACCAAAAGAGCAACGTCCACAAGAGCTGTCATAAGCTTCATAGCTTATAAAAACCAAACATCAAATTAAAAACACAATAAATATACAAACAGTTTCATATTCTTTATATTATAAATTGCGCCTACCTCCTAAAGTTGCTGTGTGACGAAAAGCTCGTACTTGAGAATCAGACAAACCAGTTAAGAGTGAAATTACGTTATCCATTAAAAATTGATCATAAATAATTGCATACTGACATTGCTTAACCAAAGTTTGAACGAAATCACAGAAATTCATTTTGAATTTTTTCCATTGCTGACCAGGCATTATTAAAGGATATTCGCCACTTTCCTACAATGTTAAAACAATGATATGATATACAATATTATTCAATATATTCACAACCTCATCAAATTCTTCTGTCATTTTCCGAATAATTGCTGTGTGCTCCATTGTTTGTTGCATTTCAGCAGTAATTTTCCCCTTACAACCACTTGCATTTATAAAAAACTGCATAAGAGCTATTAATGCTGTATCTCTATTGGTTTTATAACTTTCAATCCAATCATCAACTATGCTCTGTTTTTTTATGAAAAAAAAGTAGAGTTTAATAATCTATGATTGAGTTAAATTTGATTTACTTACAGCAATTGCCGATCTGGAATGTCTTATAATAAAATATAAACTTGTCTCATCAGTTGTTACATCTCGTTCTATGTCATAATATTCAATTTCTTTCTCTTTAACAACTTTTTCTTTTTCGGGTTTGCGAGGTTTTTCTTGCGGTGCCTTTTTGGCAGGGGTTTTGCGTTTTTTAACTACTACTGGAGTAAAGAAATCGTCTTCATCTTCATCAATAATAGGTGGTTTATCTCGAACTCCACCCCTTGCTCTTAAGCGAGTCATACGTTTTCCTGCAACTTCTGCCTCGGCGCCATCCGAGAAACTTTCATTTAAATTTTGCCTGAAAATTTATAAATTGGTTTTAAAATTTTACTTAAATTATTTTTAACTCGAGCTTAATATTGCAATTACCCGCCTTCCTCATATTCAGGAATCGGATCATCCATACGTATTCGTTTTCCACCTCGTCTTTGCATCATTTTAATGCTAATTTTTCCAACTTTGAATCCTATGGAAAAAGATTTTTGTGTTTTGCAAATTATAACAAAATTCTTGTTTATTTACAACAAAAATTTAACGCGCTTCTCACTATTTTATTTTTCTCCTATATTACAAAGATAAACATAACTCATAGACTACACAAGACTTTATCATATACAAGAAGACTTTCAATTTCAATACAATTACAATGTGTGACAACATATAAAAATATCACGCAGCGTTTACACGTCAAACAATTAAATTCGCGTAGTAATTTTTCTGCAGTTTGAGTACTTGACTTAAAATCAGCTCAAAACTCAAGCTGCGTCTCTACTATGCCAACTTGAAAGCCCGAAAATGACATTTCATTACAAGTCAAGTAAGCAAAATATTTTGATTGACTTTAATGAAGCCCGCCTTCAACTTAAGTAACATTTATATAGAGTACGGAAATAAAATATGCTTCAAGTAAACTTGAAGCTGCCATATAAACGGGAAAGTTTTTATTAAACTATATAAAAATTTCGATGAAAATTCAAAACAAAGAAATATGACGCTAAAAAGCCTTTCATACATGTGTCATGATATATTATATTTATGCAAAACCTTCCGCTTAGTTGTTTCATATGATAAAGAAAATATAGATTAAATTTTTAGAGAAAATATAGATTATGTTATAAGAAATTTTTTTAAATAAATCTGATAAAATTATTTGTTGTTTTCTTCTTTGCTTTAATTATGCTTCAAGAACGTTTGCAGATTTCAATCAACACAGTTTTCATTGGCAGTTTTTGGATAACTATTCCTGCTTTAAAGTTTGACATACACCTGACATGTCTATAGACTGATTTTGTGGTTATATTAAAAAAAAATTTAAAGTGTATTAACTATGGACGTAAGAGTCGTCGTATCAATACAGCTAATGTACACATAGACGTTTACGTACTGCTCCATTAAATCGAAAAACTACGTTTGTTAAACCAAGCAGCTTAATATAAAAACTTAAGTAAATATGTTAAAATTAATATTTGTCAAAAAATTACACAATAATTCTTGTGAAAAGAAAGATGCTCACAATTGTAGATTCTAAGGGAACTGAGTGGGGACAGGAGCATCCCCCAAGCCACCGCAGCCATTTTTGACTTATTGTAGCCACCCCACTCTCCCGTCTATAATATCCCCGTTTCAATCACAAAGCCGGAGATATCCCTAAGGGAGTTGGACAATAGTTCCCGAACACTTAGGGACCCATGTCCAAGACAATTGCGGCGCCGAACAGCCAGTGCCGGACAGTCGCAGAGAATGTGCACGGCGGTCTCATCGCCACCCCCACAAAATCTGCACAGGGGGGAGCCCGACTTCCCCAGCCTGTGCAGGTGGTATTTCACCGGGCAGTGCCCCGTGAAGAAATTCGCAATAGTGCGAACCCGGCTCCTGCTCATCCCCAGCAACTCCGCAGCGAATCCGCCGGAGCACGCCGGAACAAACACCTTCGCATGACGGCACCCTTTCGTGTCCCGCCAGTGACGACTGCATTCCGCCGCGAGTAGGCAGGCAAGCCTGGCCCCCACGGCGGAAGAAGGCAGACCACAGAAAGGCAGCGGCTGCACAAAGGCAGCCCCAGATCCCCTCCGCGCCAACTCATCGGCAACTTCGTTGCCCGCATGGCCACTATGGCCCGGCACCCAAATGAGCATCACTCTGTTTTCCGATGCCAATTCCACAAGTGCAGCAAGGCAGCTCCAGACCAGCTTGGATGTAACCTGAGCTGAACGGAGCGCCAGCAGTGCAGCCCTGCTGTCTGAGAACACATAGATGGTGCGGTTTCTATACCCCCTTTCCAAATTGATTCTCAGACAGATCTCTATTGCATGTATTTCGGCCTGGAACACTGTGCAATACGGGTCAAGGGTTGCATATACACGCGTGTCCGGGCGGACACCGTATACGCCCGAGCCCACACCCGACTCCGTTTTGGATCCGTCCGCATACCACACGCTCGAACCCGACCTAAGTACCGGACCACCCCGATCCCACGTCCATCGATCAGGAAACAGAACCCTGTACTTGTGGTCGAAGTTGTACCGCGGCAGACAGGTATCTGACATGGTTATCCTTAGAATCGGATCGCCCTCAATGAAGTCTCTGTGAGTTCTGTGGGCCAACTTTAGCCCTGCCCCGTCCTCGCCAGAGAGAAGTCGGTAAGTCACCAGCCGAGCTTCCTTCAATATATGGAGGTGCAGTGGCGGCAATCCGATCATCACCTCCAATGCAGCGGTGGGAGCCGTCCGCATCGCCCCGGTCACTCCCAGGCAGGCCAGCCTCTGTAGCTTTTCCAGCTTGGCCCGCACACCCGCCTGCTGAGCTTTACGGCACCATACAATCGACGCATAGGTGACGATGGGCCTAGCAAGGGCCGTATATAGCCACAGTGCTATTCTGGGACTAATTCCCCAGGTCCCCCCGATGAAGCTCCTACACGTCCACAAGGCCGTCGTAGCTCTCCCGATAACTCTATCGATATGGGTATTCCAAGAGAGACGATCATCCAGGGTTACCCCCAGATACTTCACCTCCCTCGAGTAACTAATACGTTCACCAAACAGAATTGGGCTCGTTAATCTGTCCCTGCTTCTGCGTCTGGTGAAGGCGACCAAAGTGCTCTTGCTTGGATTTATATTTAACTCAACGCCTTTGCACCACCTTTCCACAACACGTAAATTTTGCTGTAGAAGATCAGAAATAGTGCTCTCAAATTTTCCCCGCACGACGAAGGCCACATCGTCAGCGTATCCCCAGACACGCGCCCCGGAGCCCCTGAGAGCAGCTATTAGATCATCCACTACAATGGACCACAGGAGGGGCGAAAGAACCCCGCCCTGCGGACATCCTTTTGCAGCGGAGATGAAGAGTATATCGTCAGCTATGGTGGACTTAATAATCCAATCCTGTAGCATCCGATTGACCCATCTGCTAGTCGTCGCATCAATCCCTCGTTTGTGCAACGACTCACAGATGACATGATATGGGGTGTTGTCAAAAGCTCCCTCTATATCAAGGAAGCAGCCAACTGCTACCTCCCGCACTTCCAGTGAGTTTTCAAGGACCCCCACCAGACTCTGCAGAGCGAGTACAGTAGACCTTCCCGACTGATAGGCGTATTGAGATTCATGCAAGGGATTGCTTCCCAGTGCACCGTCCCGTATAAATCTATCAATCACTTTTTCCATTGCTTTCAATAGAAAAGAAGTAAGGCTGATTGGACGGAAAGACCTTGGGTGGTTGCTTGGTCGCTTACCCACCTTCGGAATATACGTCACTTTAGCCACCCTCCATGCCTGAGGGATGTAACCCCACGCATAGCTGGCGCGAAAAATTCCCAACAGTGCTCTAGCGATATGTTGGAAACCCCTCTGCAAAAATGCAGGATATATCCCGTCATCACCTGGAGATGCTCACAATAAAAAGCTTATTATTTTTTACACAATAACAATAATAAAACATATTAATATTAATACAATTTATTAATTTTAGGAGGCGAAAAAACCCATTTGTACATACATATATTATGTGCAAGTGAAATCTCTACTCATGCCAGTAATTTGAAAAAAAAACTAGTAGTATTGACTTTAGCATTTTCATATCCATGATGTTTACTGTCTAAAATTTTAACATCTGTAACAGCAGTGAAGTGATGTGACGATGTGACAATGACAATGACATTTTTGGAACTTTGCTCTTACTGTGCATCAATTTTTTGAGAAATCTAACTAGTCAAGAGTTTTAAAATTTATTTCTAAATAAAGTAAACTTTTATAAGAATTAAATTTAATTTTCTACTAAAAAATAGTTTGTACTTAATATTTCAAAATTTTAGAACAAAATGATGTAATTGCTTACATTAATGCCAAATCTGTTAAATGAATTTAGATGAATACACAAAATCATAATATATTCTACAAGTGAGGCTTTAATTTAGCAAATATTCTACTGTAAGTTAATAAAAATGGCTAGTAAAAGGAGGCCAATACGGCCCCAAAATGTAAATAACACATCGTCCTCATCATCATCGAATATGAACTTCAGAGCTGGGTTTACGGAAACATCTAGAGCCGAAGCTAAAGGTAATTTTAAACTTAAAAACGTGATAGAAAACTATATTTTTCAATTCTTTAGACTACTATCATGGCTTTTTAAAGAATACATATATCTATAATCTTTTTGCCAAGAATTTTAGTACGTATCAACTTTCCAAGTTCTATTTTAGGTTATTAAGCAAAACAATGTTCAAACTAGCTATCTTTTGCCATATGCATTACTTTTTATTTAAAACAAATAAGTTTTAAAAAAGAATCAAAATCAAATTGTCATAACGAAATTTTTAAAATGATGTATGTAGATACATATATATCTATTTACCTACATAGATAACAGTGGCGTTGAAGATAATTTTAAACATTAATATTTTCTCAAAACTTAATAACAAGGAATATAACAAAGAATTGCTTCACTTTCAGATTTAGAGTTTTATTCCATGTATGAATCTTAAATTCTTAACAGGATAGAATGCATCTGTTAATCTGTTAATATTATATACTTGCATATTTTAGTAACATTATAATTTTCCTTGATTTTCTATTTCTATTATAAGCTATTTTATTATTTACCATTAATTTGAGTTATAAAATATTTTTTAACTTGTTTTAGGAACGAGACCTACAGCAAAACCCTCTTCAATAAAGGAAGTTTTAGTAATGATGATTCTTCACATCTGCAAAAAGACAATATTTTTTGATACTGACATTAAAGTAGCTATTTATTTAGGTAGCTTATTTATAATATCTCTTTTAGGTGACTTTATTCCTTTCCCGAAAACATATTTTTCACGATCTGATAATTTATTCAATGTTTATTTTGTGAAAATTGGTTGGGCTTGGACTTTATTTTTTACGGTGCCGTACTTATTTATGACATCTTATACAATATGTTGCGGAAATACGCAAAAATTTTTAAAGCAACATTTACCAAGAATATTAATTGCAACCTCTTTTTGGTTTGTATGGACGAAGTTCTTTAATATTATTGAGTCGACATACGGCAGATGTACAGCTCGTAATTATGATTCAAAACCTAGTTGTCTAAAAGCGGGATTTTTATGGCACGGATTTGATATATCAGGACATGCTTTCATTTTAATTTATTCAAGTTTAATTTTAATAGAAGAAGCAAGACCTATAATAAATTGGGAGTCAATTAAAGAACATATCAGAAATGAATTATATAATAGAAGCATGCAAGAAACAACAAGTACTAATCCCTTGCGAAATCTAAGTAACGAGGAAATGAGAGAGCTAAAATTTTTATATGAAAGATTTACTCCAGCTATTAGGACTTTGTTTATTGGTATGACATGCTTACAGCTTTTATGGGATGTGATGTTAGTATCCACTATGCTGTATTACCATAACATGATCGAAAAGGTATTGAGTGGTATCTTTGCTATATTAACATGGTTTTTTACATATCGAGCTTGGTATCCATCAAAATCATTTTTACCTGATTCTGCTGGGAAAGGGAATTTTAATTACCAGAATGTTATTTCAAAACAAAGTACAAGTGGATTGTCTGGAGCTAGAAGAAGGCAAAGTTTATCACCTATAAGGCGGAATGTTGGACAACAAACTGCTCAAAATGTTCAAATACCCAAATTTATGGGTATGCCTCTATACACGAACACAAGAGCTGCAGCGGCAGCACAAGCTGGTGTCAACAGTGACGCAAACAATATTAACCAGCAAAATGAATTAACATGATATCATCATAATGGTATCAAAAACGAGATTGTAAATTAAATTAAAACGAAAAATTTATTGATATTATTTTAAAAATGAGAAAACTACATACATAGGTAGATAGTAAATATTTTTGTCTCTATTTTCTAAAATATTTATAATAACAATATGCTTTTAAATTAATTTACTTTAAAATTTATTTATACAGAAAATCCTTATAGGAAAGTTGGTTATTGGTAAATTTTTGTTTTGTTGTTTGTTTGTACAGTAAATTAATAAATTTTTTAAATACCAAAACATTATTTTTTAAAATGCAATACATCACGTCGCCTATAACTTTTATTACCTATTTTATTCCAGATAAAGAAACGGTTTTAAGAAATCTATGTGTATAATACAAGAATACATTAAAATATGACCAATATTTCCTTAAAAGAGTTTCTTATGCCAAAAAATAACCGTTATCAAAACAGGCAATCCAAAGATCAATTTATGAAATGTAATTACTTTTCCACTTTAAACGTCTAATAATCTTACTAAATAATATAACTTTAATATTTTAATTCAAAGTACCTGTATTGTAACACTATGTACGTATTATTAACCCTTTGAATTCACATTTCAAAACAATATAATTCCTCACAACTAGGAAACCCAAATTACATATTCCTTTAGTGGGACGTATTAGTAGACATCATTTTCAGAATCTTTATCTGAACACCTGTATTCTATTGGAAAAAAAGGCTTAAAATAGTTTTACTTTGGATGACATATCACAGAGCAAGATTTTTATTAGACAACGGTGACAAAACATTAGAACATATGGAACGAGTCTCGCAATATATTTTCATACCGTAGTTGAGTTTATTTTTATTTACATTTAATTGATTAAGCTTTTATCTACATGTACATTTATATAAAATATTAAGACAATATATTACCAGTTTTTGCATCGTATAATTAGAAAAGTAATTGACGAATATTGTAATGCTTCCAGTATTAAAGAGAAGTAATATTCATTCCAAAGCATTGCTATCTAATCTAAAATCAAAGTACAACAGTGACATTGTAAAACAAAATAAATGCTTCTCATTGTCTACTAAAATGGAGCAAAAGAGACATGATGGAAAGGTTGCAATAGTTACGGCCAGCACAGACGGGTAATATTTTATTTGTAATAAAAATTTTAAATTAAGATTAAAATAAAAACAATTATTTTATATTTACAAATTATAGCATAGGATTCTCTATAGCAAAGAGGTTAGCTCAAGATGGGGCAAAGGTTGTTATTAGTAGTCGTAAACAGCAGAATGTAGACAAAGCTGTTAAAGAGCTGAAAAGTTTGAATTTGGATATTTTTGGTATTAAGTGCCATGTAGGAAATGCTAGTGATAGAAAAGCTTTATTTGAAGAAACGATCAAACATTACGGTAAATTAAATATTCTTGTATCAAATGCAGCTGCAAATCCAGCAGTTGGTGATGTACTAGATTGTGATGAAGAAGTGTGGGATAAAATATTTGATATTAATGTAAAATCCAGTTTTTTACTTGCTAAAGAAGCTCTTCCACATCTAAGAAAACAACCTAAAAGTAGTATAGTTTTTGTTTCTAGTATTGCAGGATACGATCCATTCGCTGTATAAATTATGCACCTTTATTGTTATCAAAGTTCTATATTAAAATTATTTTTTTAGCTTCTAGGAGCATACTCAGTTAGTAAAACAGCTCTTATTGGTTTGACCAAAGCTGCAGCAAAAAGTTTAGCCCCAGAGAATATAAGAGTAAACTGTTTAGCACCAGGGATTATTAAAACAAAATTTTCTAAAGCGGTATAATTTTTACATTTTTTCTACATTTCTTTAACTCACATATGAAATCATTTTTAGATGCATGAGACAAAAAGTGCTAACGAGGCGGCCATTTCTCAAATACCATTGGGACGATTAGGTGAACCGGACGAAATGGGTTCGGTCGTTTCTTTCTTAGTTTCCGACGAAGCATCCTACATTACCGGAGAATCTATATTGGCTACGGGCGGAATGAGTGCAAGATTATAAGATTTTAATTTGAAAAAATTTTTAAAAATAAGAAAATGTAGACATATAAAAAAATGAAATTATTTTGTTAACAGGTTTTTTTGCTCATTGGGTTCATTTATTATAATGCAAACAATAAAATTTTTGTATATTAACCTATCATCGTGCGTTTTCTTCCCCGCGCTCTCACTTCTTCAAATTTTGTTATAACCTCACGACATGATTTTTCATCCACTGTTTCATATGCATCTAATACTTGATTAAACATTTGGGGTGAATTACTATGAGTACTTAAAAGTGCTCGTTCAAGTACATAAATATCTACGGCCTTGTCTTCAGCACTTTGACTATAATAAGATAAACCAAAGTCTATAACAATCAATTCGTACTCATCAAAATTATCTTTAGATTTTGGATTTACTAAAAAATTCGAGGTAGTTAAGTCTCCATGAATTATGTTGTTCTTATGCAACTTTCCTATCAGCTCGCCTATCCCAACGCATAATTTATACAATTTTTCTTCTGATTCCGATAAACCATTCGAAAGATATTCATTTATATATTGTTTGCTAGTTAAGCTTCCAGAAAAATATTGCATGAAAATTTTCCGGTCTTCAAAATCGACATAAAAAATTTCTGGAGTAAGAATTCCAGATTCTGTACATCTTTTAATAGCTTTACTTTCAGCTCTCATCCTTTCTTTTGTTATTTGTTTATCTAAATCAGGATGCCTGTACTTTTTAATAAATCTTTCTTTAATTAAACATTGTTTTCCCTTATAATCACCAACATAAATCTTTGCTTCTGCACCTTGGCTTAATAGCATATTTTCGTATATCTAATTACAACCAACACAACCAATAAAAAATTTGTTTTCTTTAATACGCCTCGCACTCCTTATTTGAAAATTGAAATTTACTATTTACAATTTAGCCTTAACTCTAACCTGAAAATTTCGTTTTCTTTGCGTAGATTATCAACACAGGGTTGAACAAAAAAAATTCATAATTTCAAAATATTTTGTTTACGTATGTAGGTAATGGCCGTAGAATAACTAATACGTCTAAGACATAAAGAGATAAAGTAAATCACAACCCACTTAACATCAACCAAAATTTGTATAAAAACCATAAAATCAAACAAAGAATCATTCAAAGTTAAGAAATATGCAAGAGTACTATAGAAAGATACAGGCCCAAGAATTTAAACTCTATTTCCAAATTTTTTATTTATTCAAATACTTGTAACAAAAGCATTTTTAAAAATGGATTGTCAAAATTGTAGGTACTTCTTTTGTTTTAGGTTGGAAAATATCTCAGGTTAATTCTATATTAAGGTTTGTTGAGTTTCAGCTGAACGCCTACATTAATGTGGGCGAAAAAATTAAAAATTTATTCATTGTTGAATTGTTTGATTTTTTATTAAATTCTTGAATTTCTTATTAAATTTTGGTAAGGTGTTTTACGGTTCTACTACATTATTTAAGAGTAAACATTGCTGTAATTTTTTATATTTCAAGACTCGATTTTAAAACAACCAACATGACATTGATCACTGACAATTATGTACTAATGTTTATTTTTATTAATAATTTTTTTTTAACCAAACAATTGAATATAAACAAATAGTGTTCTGAAAACGTGATGATCCGTAAATTTTCAACTGCTTTAAGACCGTCACAAATTCCTAGACCTTCTATAGAAAAGCCTCTTATAACTTGTAAAAATGCCAGATTTAATTTATATTTGAGTCATGTTCGGGATACAAAAGTCAAATTTAAAAGTATACCTTTAGCTTCAGATGGTTGGTATCACCGTAAATCTAAAGGGGATTTTTTCTTGATTCATCCAACAGTAGAAGGAATATTGGAGAATGCTTATCAAGTATCCAGCATTTCTAACGAAATAAATAGTGAGATACTAAAAAATTTGGAAAATGAATTTGAAATAGAAAATTTAACCGACATCCAAGTTAAAAGTATTCCACAAATTATCAGCGGAAATCATGTTTTGATAGCTGCCGAAACCGGTTGTGGTAAAACGTTAGCGTATTTGATACCAATTATACAAAATATACTTAATACAAAAGAAAAATTAAAATCAAGAAAATTAAACTCGCCTTTGGCAATGATTCTAACTCCAGGCCGGGAGCTAGCTACTCAAATATCAGAAGTGGTTTCGAAGCTTACAAAAAATACAGATTTAAAAGTAAAGGCTGTTTTAGGAGGAAACACAAAACAACAAATGAAAAATCCTGAATTTGAAGACATTGATATATTTGTTGGCACAATGGGGGCTACTACTAAATTAGTTACAACAGGTATATATAGAATAAATGAAGTGAGACACGTAGTATTGGACGAAGCCGATACTCTTTTAGATAATAGTTTTAAAGAAAAATTAAATATTTTCTTAAAAAAATTTCCGGTAAGTTTTTTTTATTTATTGTCTTGCATAAACTATTTTTTTCTATGTCCTCAATTTTACATTTCAGTTTTATAAAATCAGTTCAGAATTGAAAAATTCAAATGAAATTGCAACACAATTGATTTTGGTTTCTGCTACTATGCCAACAAATTTAAGAGATCTTCTACTCAACATAATTGATACTGAAACTATATATGAAGTTGTAAGTCCAAACTTACACAAATTACTTCCTCATGTTCAGCAAAAATTTTTACGAATGAACAAATCAGACCGTCCAGCTGCTTTAGTTTCTTTAGTAAAATCAGAATTGAATAAAAATCGCCCAATAATAGTTTTCGCTAATAAAACTCCAACATCTGATTTTGTGTCGATATTTTTAAACGAATCTGGTGTTAACTGTATAAACTTAAATGGTGACATGTTAATGAAAGTTCGTATTGGACGATTTGAACAATTTCAAAAAGGAAATGTTGATGTTTTAGCTACAACTGATGTTGCAAGTAGAGGTTTAGACACAAAAAGAGCTAGACATGTAATTAATTTTGATTTTCCAATACATATGTCTGATTATATACATAGATGTGGTCGAATAGGAAGAGTCGGAACTTTAGAAAAATGTTTTGTTACAAACTATATTTCGGGTCGTAGTGAAATATCAACGGTACAGAGAATTGAGCATGCAGCTCGAACAGGTGGATATCTACCAAATGTTGATGCAAATATCACACAAATAATTGAACAAAAAATATTAAAGGAACTAGGCGATATTGATGAAAGTACATTTTAAAACGTACACTGTTAATTTATAAAAATTTGTAAAATAAAATTTTTTATATATACAATATGTATATTTTTTTGCTTTAACATAGTAATGATATAAAACTCGTACCGTTTATCCTATATATTATTCGAGTATATTTATCCTATATTATATTAGGAACAAAGTATGTATATACACATAGAACTTTCATTATAATGTTTGTTGTACTGAGGATACTACGAATCTCAGTGTTTTATTGAAATTTTAGAATATTCAGAAAGTACTTTAAATGAATAAAAATTATAGTACGTTCTCTAAAAACTATAAATATGCGAACATGTGAAATACTTCGTACCACTTACATATTAATATTTATTCGAAAACATTAAAAGTAAAATTTTTATTTTTATATTTTTATTTTAAAAACTTTTGATTTTGATTTTCTTATAAAATTTTTGTTAATGTTGAATGATTTTTTAACAACCAAAATGTGATTTAAAAAATATTCTTATAAATATTATCATTAATAATATATTATTATCTTCGTTTAAAATTATAACCATATTTACATATATCTCTATTTACAAAGTACATAGTTTAATTTTTTTAGCTTTACTTTTTTTTAATACATTATATCTATATATTTAAATAAATTAAAATTTATTCGAGTACTAAAATTCATTATTTTCTTAACCACAATTTAATACAATTATAATTTTAGCATAATTATGTTTAAAATTAATTATACTTAAAATTTTTTTTATGAATTACTAACATAGTAAAACAATAGTGCATATTATAATATACACACTATAGTAAAACTTTATTTACTGCGGACATTTAATAAATTTTACTTTGTTATTAGCTATTGGAAGAAAAGTATTAAATTTGTTTTGTTTTTTTTTTGTTTTTTTTACTTTTATTTGCAATTAGATATTAAAATTATGAAATAAAAAAAAACATTATTTTATTTAATATTGATTTCTTTGATAGAACACAGGTACTTTACTTGCTTTTCTTTTAAAATATAATTAATGTATGTATGCATAATTAAAAACTATTAATATCATTTTGATTATTTATTTGTATTTATTAGAGAAAATTATCAACTGAATCATATTTTTTCATTTTTGTTACAGAATTTATAGATAGCAGATAATTTTGAAATCAAATATAAAGGCTTATAATATATTTCAATTATGTTGTAATTTTGAAGAAATTTTTTTTTTTTTATCGCCTGAATGTTTTATTATATATACAAAATGTTTATTTTTTTCATTTAATCGTGGAACAATAATTTATTCCACTTTGAAAATTTTTTTATACTTTACGTTTTCCTAACTTGGTTATTATTAAATTTTTTCTACTACTACTTATTTTAAACATTTTTAAAACAAAATAGAGGAAAAAAATTTTCGTTCAAGACAAAAATTAAAAAGAAATACAAACATTTATAACACGATTTTCTAATATCGATATTTGCTAATGTAAAAATTAAAAATGTTTTAAAAGTTAAAACCTTTTTAGCTTTTAAAAGGGTGTAGAAAATCTAAAAACCATATCTTTAAATTTCCGTGTACATTATGTGAATTTATGAAATAAAATAACAAAAGCACAAAAATATTATATTTGATACTCTTAAAATAATTATTGAATTATTTCTTACTGCATTGGTGTAATAAGAATATTAAATTCAACTCTTAACAAATTTTAAATAATGAATTTGCAAACAAAATATTTATAACATAAATAATGTACATAAATTTCATTATTCAGGCGAATTATAAGAATTTATTGCTAAATATAATCATAAAATATTGATATTTTAAATTACATTAAAATATAATTTAATTTTGTAGGTTATAAAAATATTTATTTTAGAACACATATTCATTTTTTATACAATTATTATGTTATTTATAATTATATTTGCTAGTGTTGTTTTCTTGTTGAAAACTGTGAATGAAATTTATTGCAATTATTATAAATAAGTGCATTTACCTGGATGCAAATTAATATATAATCTTTAACTTTGTTCAGCGATTCAAATGAATGTGCAGCTGAATAAGTGAAATTGTCTTGAAATATGCATTTTAGTAGAAGCCTTAATATTTTAAAAAATAATTAAAAAATAATTAATAATATTAAATATTTTATTATTTATGATTGATTTTCTTTTGTTTAAAATAGTGTAAATTGTGTATTTTTTATATTTATACATATATATGTACTTTTTTGGTATTATAATATAATATTTTGTTTAAATTGATTAATTTTTTCATATTGTTTTTATTTTTTTTTTATAATTTAATAATTTTAACTTCAATTTTTACTTTTCGACTGACTGTAATTTTTATTTTAACTTTATTTTTGGAATGTTTTTTTTTTTAAGCTTTAATGTATTTTGTAATGTTTAATTTAAATTATTTAAGCTGCATTTAAATTAAAAATTGAAAAAAAAAAAATCTGTATATATTTAACAATAATCAAATTTAATACTTAAATTAAGAACAAGTATTAATAAATATCTTTACTTTCATGTAACAAAATAAATTAAGATTTAAATTTCTTTTTATTTTGTATAATATTATTAAAATGATTCCTTTCATTTTTATTTTTTCCTAAATAAATTTAATTCTATAGAAGGATGTATTGTATTTTGGCAGTCTTAATTATTTGCATTATATTTTTTCATATTTTTTGTTTTTATCTCTATTTAAATAATATATAAATTTTAAATAAATTTTTTTTTTTAATATAGTATTTATATTTTATACATATCATACATTGCATACAAGATTTTTATCAACAATTAATTAAATTTTATGTTTTGCTGTATTTATAGATTTTTTTTTTTGAAAATTTGTATTATGTCCTTTTGAAAATATTGTATTGAAAAATTAACATTAATTGTGAAAAAATTGAACATAAAATTTTATGAAACTACATTTTTAAAACACTTCAAAAATTTAGAATTTCACATTTTAAATAATCTAAAAATATTTGCTGTATGCCAAACTGTATACGCGGTTTTTTTATACTTTAAATTTAATTTGTTTAATTTTCGATAAAAAATCTTATACGTTTTGCTTTATATATTGTCGTTTGTTTCATTATTTCATAAAATATTAACTTTAAATTTTGTATTATGTCTATATTAATTGAGTAATTTTAGTAACAAATATTATCCAAACTAAAATAATATTAAAATCTACTGTATAAAAAATAAATAAACCTAAATTAATTTATTATAAATGCATTTTAAATATAATTTTTCATACATTTTAAAATATTTTATAAACTGGGTACATCAAGTTGTCTTTATCAAATAATTTACAAAAAAATTGTACATAACATAAGGTTTTCGTTTAATTATAATAAGTTTGCAAGTTAATAATTTAAAGTTTATGTCAAATTATATTTAATAATATTGAAATATAGCTGGTTGTTTAAAATAAATTTTTATAAACTCCTTTGCTTTAAATGCTTATATATTATAAATTTTATATATACAATATTTAACTACTATATATGTTAAAATACAATAAAATTTTAAATTTAATTACAAAAAAAGCCTGTTAATATTATAAGCTAGCAATAAATAATTGAATATTTTCAAATTTATCTACGATAGATTAAGTACATATTAATATTTTGTTGACACCATTATTTAATTATATATTGTTATTTAATTTTAAATTCTAATTTACACTGCTAAAATTATTTTTTTTTTATTTTATTTGAAATATTTTTTTCTAAAATTATCGAAAGTATGTAAAAACATACTTAAACGTAAAAGTTATTTTTTTAAATTTTAATAGCAGCAATTAGGTTTTCTGCTTGTTCTTTTCGACAAAATAAAAATAATTCTGGTATAAAATTTACAGGACTTTAAATAAATTTGTTTTTTATTTTTATATATTTTTTTTTTGATTATCGCATCACAGTTTAAGTAATCAATAAGTTTCTCATGCTTTCTGTTAGCACGCATCTCTCAGCTTGTTTGCTGTGTTAAAAGATTTACTAACTCTGTTCTATCCATATTGTTCAAGGTTTGCATATCAACACCGATTGCAGTAGCTACTGCCTCGATGTCTAAACCAAATGATGCTAATAATTCTAGAAATCTCATTTCCTCCCCAGTCAAGGGATTAGTTAAAGTTGGACAAGAATAATTGCATTGCGGCCAGCTACATTTTTCTAAAAGTCGTAATGAACACTTTTTCGGTTCTAATATGACTTTAGCATCATCACCTTCAGTAAATCTTGAACCAAATGATAGTATTTCTTGATCTCTTCTATATTGATGTCTCAATTGCTCTTTTCTTTTACGTTTCCTTTTTCCATTTCCACCGTTTTTATGATGTTTGCTATTTGGTGAATTTTCTTCAAAATTCTCCTGAAGCTTGTTTCTTTTTTTATTACCACCACCATTTTTTTGTGTTATATTAGAATTCCTATCAAAAATACCATCAACAGTTTTTAATTCTTTTTGTGACTCCCTTAATTTCCTATGTTTACGTCGACGTTCATTATGACGACGTCTCTGTTCACGTTCTTCTTTTGTTAATTTTTTTTGTTCACCATTATTTTTATCAATTCCTTTTTTATTTTTTTTTTCAACTGTCGGACTAGTTATTATTGTTCCATCATTTTGCTGATTGTTATTTTGGCGATTATGTTTTTGATTATGACGTCTTTTTTTGTCATTTCTTTTTGGTTCAGAATCTCTTCTTAATTTATTATGTTTTCTTCTTGTAGATTGTTCCCAGCATCTTAATGCTTCCGGTAGAGAAATGTCATCGATTTTAATATTTAACCAGTCTCGTTTTGATAGCACTGCGTGTCCAATACATGAAGGAGCGAATACAGCTGTCACATTGTCGAGTGATTGCCTCAAAGCACCGCCCATACCATGAATATAATCCCATTGCTGTGGTGTAACAGGAGCACCAACGTTATCAGCTCTCATTTGTGCTTCATCAAAAAGCCATTGAAACACAAAGAGTGGCGCTAAAATAATATTAAGAAAAAATTTAATAAAAATTAATGTAAAATAATTCAATTATTATCTTACATTTTAAAGTAGGATAAAGCCTATAACCAAAATAACATCTCCAAGGTTCATTTAAGTGATGTTTAACACATTCTTCAGGTAGTGAGCCACCCCACATTTTCCAACCTTGTCTTACACCTTCTGATGCTGCAACAGCACCAGGTGTATAAGGTTCCCGATCCAAAAACCATCCCGAATCGCTGACACCTCTTACAAGAACCTTAAGATTCTTTTCATTATGTATAAAATGACTAACTCTATCTAAATTCAACATTACTCCAAGACCACCAGCTGAAGATCCCACAAGAAGTAATTCAGAATTAGCTGGTCCACCTAATCCAAGAGGAATTAAATCAGCAATAACCTGTTTAATTATTAAAGAACCCATAAAACGCCAACCATCTCTTGTTTCTATTTGTGTTTTCGTTCCAGACCAAGAATCACTACTACAATATGGAACAAGAACATGATTTGCATTATGCCAATATGGATTTTCTTCAGGTAATGGTGATAATATACCACCAACTGGAATGAAATAATATCAAAATTTAAATAATTATATTTATTTGTATTGTATTCGTCATACCATCTCTATTTTCTGGCCATTGTGCTGATGTCATTAGATGACGGAATTTTAACCATCTAGATCGACATGATTTTATATCGAAACAATGCCAACCTCCTTCTAAAAACACTACCCATCTTTTTGCTCCTGGTGATTTTCTTAAATAAAAACCAGCTTGTGAACCGTCATTACAAGTTACTGTACGATTTGATAAGAAAACTCGCTTTAATGATCTATTTATGTCATTATTGGTTTGTGTTTCAACTACATCCCGTTGAATTGAATTACTTTCAATTGAAAATTTTGATGATTTTGTTAAATTTAATGTATTTAAGGCACGACATTCACAAAAATTGGAAAATATAAGCAATTGAAATATTACTGTGACACTTACTGTTATGAAAGTTGATACTTTCTGAAAAAGAAAAAAAAAATGGTTTTTGAAAATTTAAAATTTTGTTTTTAAATTGTTTTTTTTTTATTATTATCAAAGGAATAGCAATTTATAATAGAGTACAGTCAAATTTACTTAACTACACATAATAAAACAGTTATACAACTTAGAATATAAGTTATGAATAAACTCGATTCCATTTACCCTTAATGCGGTTCCGTGAACCTACAATGCACGGAAATTTAAAAATATTAGATAAATTAATTGAAACAGTGATTAAAGACATTTTTTTTATTTATTTCTCTTTTAAATTAATTGTTCTATTTATTTATTCTAAAATTATAAAATTATTAAAATAATTAATAAATTTCATTTAAAATTTATTAATAGAGAAAAATAAATATTTTTACAAAAAAACAATATTATTTTTTTGAAATTAAATCGTTTTCTTTTCAGTTGACGTTGAAAATCAACCTTTTGAATGAAGTAATTTCTAATTAGCTTGTAATTATTATCAGATATTCCGGCATTGTAAATTTGTTCTAAAGCTGCAAAAAGTCAAAAATTTCATTTCCTCGTTTTTTAATACTTTTCAGCTTTTTTTTTTTTTTAAATAGTGAAACGCAGTTAATAGCATAAACATACATTCATGCATACATACTTAAATTTTTATATAAAACGAATTGTTATTATTATTGTTTTCTTTTATGCTTTATCTTTTTTTTTTTAATATTGTTTTCGGTTTTTATATACTTCGATGTGTAATTGTAGTTGTTGATATTATTGCACGTTTATTTTAATTGTTTTTATTTTGTTTTTTTTTGTTTTTTCTTGTTTCTTGTTATAATTTTTTCTCTTTATCATTTTCTGGCGGCATAAAATCTTTGAAGTAATCGCTGAGCTCCTTGCTCGCGTTCTGATCAAAGAGATTCCGCTAAAACAGCATGTTTACGTTCTTTTGAATCTTCAGGCAAAATCATCATCATTATTATCACTATCATCACTATAATCATTATCATCGTTATTATTATCATCGTTATTATTATCATCGCAGCACACCGCACGGCAGGCATACTTTTTAAAGTAATATATAGAGGTATATATACAAAAATTTTATGCTCATATAATATATATGAATATCGATATAAATTTTTATGTGTTTTTACAACTATGTATAAATTTATTATATCTAATACAAATGTGTGTATAACAGATATTGTATTGATTATTATTAATACATATATATCTACACACGCATGTATATAAATAAATAAATACAAGTATATTTATTAAAGGTATTGTATTGTAGATTGTTTTTGATTTTTGTAGATTTTATTATTGTTGTTTTTATACGTATATTAACGTTTTTGTTAAGTTTTCTTTTTTTGGAAAGATTAATGAGAAATTAAAAAGCTAGCTGTTGCATATATATATATATACATATATATGTATATAAATATGTACATTAATATTTTTATAATGTTTTATTTTAGGTAAAATACAACAAATACCTATGCATATTCTACATACAAAAAAATGCACATACATTCGTACATAATGACGTATACATTTATTTTATATATTTTGGATTCCCATTAATTTTTTGCTTACGACCCAATTTTCGAAACGAAAATTTTTGATGACCCACCGTTGTATGCATGTACATACATACACATATATTGAAAATACTTATGTATAAAATTTAGAAATACATTTAATTTTTCTATTATTTATTTGTTGATTTAATTGTTTTTTTAATATTATATTTAAGTATGTAGGTAAGAAGCGATAATTTTTTTTTAAATTCTTCTAGATATCTATAAAAGCATTTTAAAATTATAACAAGTATACTTTATTGATATTAAATTTAAGATTTTTTTATATTTTTAATTAAGTAAGGATTTTAAGATATCGTTTGCTGAATTCTTAAGTGTCCAATATCAGAAATAACATTGAATAGCAGTATTATAAGCGGTCATAATGGTACATAAAATTGTAATGTCTACGTGTTATGATATCAATCGATTTTCAAGTCGATTGTGTCAATATTTCAAATAATTTTTGATTTTTTTATTTAAATTTGTCAAAAATTCATATTATGGAGATTTCCCCATACAAGCTGATTGAGCTAGAAAAAAGTATAGCAAGTATTTTTTCCATATATCTGGGTATATCTAGGTGGATAGAACAATTAAAATGTTACTATCATATGAATTTTAGTGATATATTGGACACATACAAAAATTTTTTCGAGAGTAAAAAGAGATATCGAAATGGTGATAAGCGCATCATTTCCATTGCTTCCACTGAAGCTCTCATTTCTTTTAAACCAATTTTAATATACAATTTAACATTATAGCTGTTTATTAGTAGCGTCAAAGAGTTGACATTTGAGTGCCAAGTCAAAATTTAAAAAAAAATTTTCCAATAAATTTTCATTTAATCGCCATTTACTCATAATTCAAAATTTACTTCCACAAATATACCTATACATACTCAGCTAATATTAACCTATTTTCAACTTATTATTTGAAAAATCTCTAAATATTTAATACATATTCCTATTTAATATTTTGTAAAAATGTTTAATTGGTAATATTATAGAAATATTTTGGATCATATTAAAGAAAAACAAAAAAAAACAAACAACACAAAATATCCTTTTTATTTTGAAAATTTTTGTTATATAAAATCCAATAAAATCAGGGACACATAGAAGACATGAGACAAGCAACTAACATGCGCTCAAGCTCATATAAACAAAAGAGAAAAATTGAAAACAAATAAAGAAATGAAATCAAACAAAAAAAAAAAGAAATGATCTTCAAAGTAAAATAAGAATAACAAAACAAAACAAAAAAAGAAAATCGTAAAAAGAAAAACCGCGGTATTCCACATATAAAGTTTATAGTGTTATTTAAGTGACTCGTGTTATTTATGAATTTATACTGTATATACACACAAAAATAATAAAATTTATTTGTACTATTCACTTGATTACTTATTCACCAAAACACATCCATATATACTTACAAAACATTTATTAAATATATTTTGTGTTTATATTTGAACATGTTTTTTTTCTCTTTACTACAATTATTTACTAGATTTTATTTATAATATATACAACCATATATTTCATATGTATATATATTGTGCACATAATATAATGTTATAAAGCTACTGGGGTTGAGTGATTGATGGACTTTCCTTAAAGGCATTTTATTTCTAACAATTTTTTTTTTTTAGTTTTCATTTGGTTTTTATTATCTTAATTCCACATTTATACACTTACATATTATAATATCTTGTGTATGTTTGTATATACAATGAAAAATCAAAGAAAATCCGATGGTATGTATTTTTTTTTTTAAAGAAGATAATAATATGTAATGGTGTTTATAGATACATCAATGTAATTAGATATAATTTCAGAGATAAGTTAATGGTTTAGTTTTTCTTTTTAAATACATATATGTAGCTATATAGCCTCAAAATATTTAAATAGTTTTTCAATCATTCATTCATGTTTATAAAGAAAAATAATAAAAAACAAATGTATATATAGATATATATATAAAATAATGAATATGTTTTGAATTTACAAGTGCATGTGAATGTACATGAAAATTGTATGTGAATACACTTATTCCTTAATTTTAAGCGTATTATGAAATTTTCATAAATATATATGAATTTATGTAATAATGCATTAATGAAATTAATATTAAATATTATGATAAATTAAATAACAAGAGAAAATAAGAATGTAATTGATGATATTATTAATTAAATTAACTTATTCCGCAATTCAAATTATATTGCTGAATAAATATAACTTTGACGAGATCTAGGTTTAAGGAAAACGTCCTAGTTTATCAAAATTTCATGTAAAATACTAAATACAGTTACCCTAATGCTAATCTAATAACTATCACATTGTCTTATTCAGCAATTAAAATTATATTGCATCCGATCACACCTATAATAGATTTATTATTAAATATGTGTATGTGAACATTGTTTGGGAAATTAAGAACAAGGTCGATTGTGTTCTTATCAGTTCAGATTTTTTCCATTGGTGTCCAAAATTGAAAAGATTTACTTTTTTCAATTGAATTTTATTTTTGATTTTTTTTTTTTACAAAATTATATTAATTGCAAATTTAGAAAAAAAATATTGAAAAATATAAACGGAAATAATTTTTCAAAACTATTTTGATTTGAATTATGGTCTTATAACTTCAAAAGAAGAGAATAAATCAAGTGATCTATGTATGTCGGATGTATAACTTAAAATCGGAAGTATTATATTATTTATAAATAAAGCGAGAAATGAAATAAATACATTTTGAGAAATAATTTTACATTTTTTTCTAATTAATGGTCCACATTTCCTGTTAATATAACGAGATCCTAGATAGCTATAACAATTAATAAGTTAAGTTTTAAATATTTTATTTTATTTACTTGATTAACAATTTTTACTGATCGTATATCAACCATATTCGGTATGGTTGATATATACGATTCATTTTCAGTAATTCAAAATTTGTTTGTAGACTACGGGCTAATTTTTGTTTAACATAATTAGTTTAGAAAACTGAGTGTATCTATTTTTAACGAACGATAATTTTATTATTATTCCTAAACTATTGAGTTTTGGACGCTTGTTTAAATTTAATTTAATTACTGAAAATTTGACAAATGGTTATAATTAAAAAATTAAATTAGTCTTTAACATACAACCTGATATCGAAATCGCGGTAATATATGTATGTATATCAGGAGAAAATGCAACAATTATCATTTATTAATTGAATTACATAGTAATTGAGTATTATTGCAATAGAGGTGAATTACGTATAGTAATTGCGTATAGTAGTTAGTAGTATTACATAAATTCCGGAGTATAATTTCAAGTTTTTTTTCCGAAGACAATATAATTTCTTAATTTTCGGTTAATATCAAATTGAAGCAAAATTTTTTTCATATACATATATACAAAATGTAGTTCAGAA